CCCCAAAACCCCAAAACCCCAAAACCCCAAAACCCCTTATTTCTCAGAAATAATTGCAATTATTTTTACAAAGATCCCTAAGATGGTAAGTTCTCCAACCTTTGCCAGAAGTGCTTATAGTTTGCTATAGGAAAGGTCTGAGCAATTTGAAGTGATCAAATCCTTCAGAGATAAGAATTACGTGCCTCCAAAAGAGGAATTCCTAAACCTACAGGCTAAAGACATTGAGTTCACTCTTATCAAGGACGAAAAGATGAATGATATCACATACTATTGGTTCCAAATCAGGATCGTCCCTTTCGATGAGTATTACAAAATATCCAAGAGGCATAGCGAATTTGAGAGTTTGCATGAGGCGCTATGTATGATCTTTGCCCAACTCGTTTTTGTGAATCCACCCAGTAAACTAAGACTTCTGCATAAAATAAAGAGGAGGAAAGCTTTTTACATTGACCTTCTGTCCCAAATCAAGAATTATATGGTGACTTATCCAGACTACAGAGTGCTCTTCCTCAAGAAGATATACCAATTCTTCATTGTAGACTCAAAATTGATGGAGGAAAAGGAAATCAAAAGAGACATTGATGTTCAAAATGATACTACGCTTCAGAGAGAACGTGCAGCCACAATCGAGTCTGTTGAGGAGTTCACAGAGGACCTTGGCGCTACAGTTTATAGTAAGTCTAAAGATGATACTTACGATCGGTCTGTTGTCTACAACACACTTGCCTCAGAAGGATATAAGGTATTCAGCGATTAATTACCTTTAGGATTTTATTGAAGGAACTGTGCCTGAATATGTAGATAAAGATCAGAGTAAAAGAAGACATTCCGAGTGTGCCTCAACATCAGTCCTTGCTGCCGGTCCAAAGGTCAGACCTGTCCAGTTCAACAAACTCATTGGAACACTTGGATACGTTTATTGTAAAGAATCTAGAGGAAAAAGATGGCTGAAATATTATGGAAGAATTACTGAATCTAATCTTTCTCTCTGAGATACATTAATTTCTCAGTCCTTCAAGATCTCACTATGCTTGTATCAAGCAGATTTTGAAGAAGATGAGGAGGAAGTCAGGCTTCCAGGAACAAAGTACATTCAGAAACATAAGGTCCTCAGAATTTCTCATCAGTACGAATATGAATTCATCAGTCTTATCTTCCAAGAAGATGCTTCATTTAGCAATATCATGGGATTCTTGAGAGAAAAGGCACAAGAAGTGAACAGAGTAACTATGATGAATATAAACTGCACAAACAGATATCCCTTCGGAAAGTTATTTATTGAGGTCAAAGGAATCGAAGATCTCTACACACAAAGAGACCTTGAGGTAGAGATCGAATTCAACCCGTATATCCTCAAGACTAAAACTTATGACTGCCTTAGAAATACACCTGTAAAGTTCAACCAAAAATTTTATGTGCCTATTCACAACCGGTTCAACATCCTCAAAATAAAATTGATTAGGTTATCCAAAGAAGGAATCTTTTCAGCCAACAAGAAGCCTGCACAAGTTACATCTTACGAGTATGCAATCCCGTTTTTAAGAGTAAGCTATGTCATAACCCCACTTTAGGACGATGGAGGTGAGAAGGTGCTCAAGATCCCAATTCATACCTCAGAACTTCTCAAAAAGAGTGTGCTCAACAAGAAGGATATCCAAGACGCTGAGAAAACTTACTATTTACAGATCTCTCTCAAGGATTTCTCAGACATCAGGACTAGAATTTATACCTACCCCAATAGGAACATCCTTGAAGAGAACCAAAAGAAGCAGTATTACAGAATTAAGGATATTAAACAAGTGGCCTTCAGGTTGAGGTTGCTAATAATGTTTATAAACAGACTGAAAATGATAAACCACTACGTTTTCTACTTCCAGTACCCCAACTTGTCATACTTCATATGTGGATTCCTGATTTTGTTCACATTTTTCTTCGAAATCAGCAATGCACCCTTCTATGCGCTGTTCGGAGCGATCATGTTTCTGCTCCTGACGAGGTATTATCAAGGTAAGTTTCTCTCGATTTGATCATTTTAGGCCTATCACTGATCTTTAACGCTGTATTTTTCGAAAATATCCACCCGCTGATTGAGAAATCAAACCAGCAAGATATTGAAACCCTCAACAGAATTCGGAAAGAGAATCAAAGCTTGGAATCTACAGTTAAAAATAGGAAAAGTATCAAATCTTTCTGAGAGGAATCTCATTTTGCCAAATTTGAAATTTTGACTAAGGTAAAATATCAGGAGAAAAAGAATCTTGTGGAGCTTGAAACAGAGGAACTTATGTATAAAGACGGACTCGATGAGCCTGAAGAAGAGGAGGAAGAAGGCGAAGACCCACATCATAAGGATCTCAATATGAAAGAGAAACTAGCAAATTACTTCCTCGCGAAGAATAAAAGAAACGGCATCTCTCAAGGCTGGGAAGTTCTATCTAATATTCTATTCCTAATTGACCAAATCCTGACAGTTTTTGAGAAGTTCAAGAATCTGATATTTTGGAAAAGCCCAACAGCCACGATGTATATTCTTTTCCTCCTCATGTTGGCTTATCTCGGACTTGCCTTCTTGCCAATTAGATATCTTCTGATCGGATTCTACATCTTCAAGTTCAAGAAAGGATTCACATACTACGAGAGAATCTACAAGCATAACATCGAATGCGGCAAGCTGGAGATCTGCAGATTCTTAGGTGATAAAAACTTTGATTTCTGTAACGAGTGGCCAAAGATAAAGAACTTAGAAAAGAAGCTTAACGTTCACTTACAGAAGAACCTGCTCATTTTCCTGCCGAATGACTGGCTAAAATACTATTCAAGGCCGATCCATCTCCTGGAGAAAATTGGAAACATAAAAACGTAATAATCTTCTATAACTTTTAGGCCTCTCATGCTGTCAGATACAGATGAAAATGAAGCGATCAAGAGGACCAACCCGTTGATTTACAAGAAGAAAAAGAATGCTATTGAGAAGTTATACGACTACCTGATGAACAACTGCCCTTCAGACTTCTACCTCCTGAAGCACTCAGAAAATCTACTGAGTAAGAATTATATTTAGAGTGACTCTCAACAAAAATTATTCTTGACGGGGTTTTGGGGTTTTGGGGTTTTGGGGTTTTGGGGTTTTGGGGTTTTGGGGTTTTGGGG